AGATATGCTAAACATTCATACGCCTCTTCATGCTTCGACCACTATTCCAGAGGACATGCTGATGCTGCTCGTTTAAAAAAAAAAAAGCGTTAATTAAATTTGTGACTGAACTCCTTGGAGGAGAATTTTACATCTACTGCTCCATGGTTTTACCCGCATCCTGCCACATATTTTGTGTTATGGTAGTCTTGGATGACGACCCAGCATATGGTTATTTGATTTAAGAACACTTTCACAGCAGATCTGACAACACACAAAGAAGATTCTAATATCAGATTTCTAAAGATAGCTACAGCACTCGACCCAAGGATTGTGGGTTAAGAGATTTTAGCTCACTAAGTGGGAATCCTCCTGTTAAAAACAACTGGAGGTGTAGATACGAACCAAGGGACGCACCCCACCCATGTACTTATTCACTACAGCAATACTGACTTGGACTCTCAATACATTCTATGGGTGGCATACCCAAGATCACTTATCCACTGACATTTTAAAAACTCCCACACCCCAGTCTGGGTCTATGCTGGTTATGTACTATGTATGTATCTTGTGAACCTTGTAACCGATACTTATAATGCCTTATAACCCAAGGCTGACCCCAGATGTCCAGTACCTTCCCTCTTAACTCGTGAAAATTTAACTTTAAACATTAATATTACTACCTCTTCTGAAAATATAAAACTTAGTATTAATTTATACAGAATATACAGAGATCAGATGCAAAGATCTATAGCATCTATAGCAGCTTTGAGCAGTTGAACTAAAATAATAAAATAGCTGCCATAAACACAAAAAGTGAAACCTATAATAGTCACTGAAAGACTAACTTTGATATACATACTTAAAACAAAACAAAAGATAAATTTAACCCTTGCTTTCTGCATTGGAAGTCAAGAACTCAACAGTATTTCCTCTAGATTTAGTATAATCCAATTATTTGTAACAGTCTATAAAATTGAACAGCTGAAAATAAGATAATATACAAGTTTTTGTGTGGTTTACATATCTTCTGACAATTATGGAACTAGAAAAGAAACTTGCTATAGTCCCACAATTTAGCAGAAATACAAATATCTTCATTAACTGACTGAAAATACCCAAAAATATTTTTGACTCAAAGATTCTTCTGCGGAGTTGTGAGCCCAGATTATCCAACTTCAGTAAAACACAAAAAACCAAAACATCCGAAATGCAAGATTTTAAAGTTATGTTGATTTTTAAATTTTACAGTGTTTGATAAAAACAAGAGGTTTTTTTTTTAATATGAATTGAAAAGTATATCTTGACAGTGTTTTGACCATAAGGTTTTAAAGATATTCTTAACAGAAGTTAAAAGTAGATAGTACTACATGTACCATAATATCTAAGTGCTTTGAGAATTGAGACAAAGACTGTGTGATCGTAACTCAAAGCTCAAAGTCAAAGGAAAGGCTCCCTTTGACCCTAAGAGATTGTGGACCTGGCATTATGCACACAATTATTAACTTTACACTAGGATATTATGATTTTAGTATTCTCATAAAACTTCTGTTTTCTACCTTAAACTATCTAAACCAGCGTTTCCCAAACTGTGTTCCGTGGAACACTGGTGTTCCACATGATGTGAATAAGTGTTCCATGAAAGAATCTAGAATTTAATTTTGACTCTTGCACTTCATTTTTGTACTACTTTATACACGCTTTCCAGTTAGAAATTGTTAGTTCAAGTTATTTTAAATTTGTATTTTTGCTTTGTTTTGTAAAGTAAAATATATTTGAGCATAAATAAATGCAATTTTTTAATTTGAAAACCAAATGACTACAAAATAATATCATAAGTGTTCTGTAATAGGCTAAAAAGTGTTCGTGACCAAAAAAGTTTGGGAAACGCTGATCTAAACCACAACACTTAATATCAAGGCTGGCATTGTATCTGGAGATCACCTCTGCCTATATACTGCAGTTCATATGAAATGTACTAGGGTCACTCATTGTTGAAGTCCCCAGTCAACACCATACATACACATTGCAATTGCATCTACGTAGACAATCAAATCACACAGGTTAATCTTTGTCTTAACCATTCAACAGGTAAGGGAAGGGCATTATGCACATCCATGAGGGAAACCAGATAGCTCTTGCCGATTGGCGCAACCCACAAGTACATGGTCTAAACTGCCTACTACAACAAAGCATGGAGTCAAAGGTCCCCACTTGTGGAATGGTCAAATGTGCTGCTAATAACTACATCTGAAGCGGCTGAGCTTTACCCCAAGATGGCATGAAAGGATGCTGGGCTGTTGGATTTGTCATGATAGGTATTAGCTACATTTGAAGCTTGAAAATAGGAATACAGCAGAACCCTGTTTATCCAATCTAATTGGGACTAGGGCCGGGGCCAGATCGGACAATCAAAAATTTGGATAATCTAGAGAATGGGAAAGTGTAAGGCTGCAGCACCATCTAGCGGCCACAGGAGTGATCATCAGCTTCTGGACCTGTGTACGCTGGTTGTTCAGTTAATACAGAGCTGGATAATGGCGGGTTGGATAAACAGGGTTCTACTGCACTCGTGCCTGTTTCTGCCTGGCCTAGAAGCTACTCTCAGCGTAGGTAGTGAGTGTCAGAACCTGGTCACAAGTACTGTGGTTTGGTCTGAAACTCGCATGATCTACCCAGGAGTCATGATCTACTGTTTGCAGTATTGCCATTTCTTCTTCACCTCCCCTTCAGATGTTTTGTCCCTGTCCACCTCTGTAACATTTATCAGGCAGGTAGCAATACTATTTGAAGGAACTGGGTAATGGTGCTGTGCTGCAGCCTTCTGAGCACCACCACCAGTAACTAGGCACAAGAGGCTGAGTTAAAAATGGAAGCATTATTTCCCAGTATATTAGCTTTTAGAGAGTTTAAGACAAACCCTATTAATTATAATGTGAGTTTTCTTGTAAAGAGACAGCTGAAAAATGAAAATAATCTTTCAAGAAAGTGCACGTGATTTTACATATTTTTATAAAATATAAACAACTTTATAAAAATCAAAGAAACTATAAAGATTAATCTACTGTGGCGATTTACTCAGGTACTTTAAAAGAATACAATTTAAAAAAACCCAAATAAAACATATAGAGACTCTTAATTAAAGATGAGTATATTAGTTAGGGACTATCTGGAGACTTTTTTTGGTCTTTGGCGTCGGGGAAGACTGGCCCATAGGTTAGAGCAGCATTTCACAAACTGGGGTCCGCAGACCCTGGAGGTCCCTGAAGGTACTCCAGATGGTCCGCAGGCCCCACTCATCAAACTCCTCTCCCTCCAGAGGTACAGCGGGACTAAGGCAGGCTCCCTGCCTGCCCTGGCTCCGCGCCACTCATGGAAACGGCCAGCACGTCCCTGAGGCCCCTTGGGGTGGGGACAGAGGGGTCTCCATGAACTGCCAGCGCCCGAGCACTGACTCCGCAGCTCCCATTGGCTGGGAACTGTGGTCAATGGGAGCTTCAGAGGTGGTGTCTGCAGGCAGGGGAAGCGCACCTGGCCCCTCCCGCCTAGGAACTACTACCAGAGAGATGTGCCAGTCACTTTCAGGAGCCACCCAAGGTAAGCGCTACACCCCAAACTCCCTCCCACACCCCAACCCACTGCCCCAGCCCACAGCCCCTCCTGCATCCAAACTCCCTCACAGAGCCCGCACCCCCTCCTGCACCCCAACCTCCTGTCCCAGCCTGGTGAAAGTGAATGAGGGTGGGGGAGAGTGAGTGAAGTAGGGGGAATGGAGTGAGGGGGGAGGGAACAGGTGGGGTGGGGCCTTGGGGGGGAAGGGGTGGCATGGGGGCAGGGCTTGGGTCTGAACAGGGAGCTTGGGGGTCCCCAAAAAAATTAAAATTAAAATGGGGGTCCTCAGGTTGCTGAATTTGAGAATCGCTGGGTGACAGTACTAGCCTGGGGCATGGAAGACCTGGGTTCAATTCTCTGCTCCATCAGAATTCCTGTGTGATGTTGGGCAAGTCACTTAATTTCTCTGTGACACAGTTCCCCATAATATTTCCCTACCTCACAGGGGTGTTGGGAGGATAAATATATTAAAAAGTGTGAGATGCTCAGAGTCTATGGTAACAGGGGCCATTCGAGTACCTAAGATATCTGCACTTTATCCACAAGTAAACAGTTCACATAAAACATCCAGTGGAAAAAAATATGAATTTACTTAAACTGTTGGTGTAGTAAGGCACCATACTCCAGGATCATTTGTCATACAATGCAATATCTCAGAAAAATATATGCTATAGTTAATTTCAGAATCCCAAGTCAAAAATATTGATGTAGTCAGACAGGTGTTATTGTCACATCTGTATCATCAAGATATTCTTCAAGCTGACCTAGAACGCCAAAAAAATTAACCATGGCCCACCGTAACACTTCACAGATGGGTTCCCTTCAAATAACAGTTCTAAGTTAGAATCCCTTGAATCAAATTTCTTCAAATACTTAAATATTTTTGATATACCCATTATATATTTGTAATAGCAATGATTTTTTTCTGCCATCACGTAAGCATTTTGGGGAAAAGGTATGGAAGATTGGTGAGACTTGTTTAAAAAACAATACCAACTCAGAGAGAGTTCATAGCAACTTCGAACTAGAGAGAAATGTGCAAAGAATCCTTTCTGAGGGCAAGCTGTTTACCTGGATCTCATCCAGAAACAGCTGAATTTTTGCACAAAGTAGAACCATTGAGGAAACATACCTAAACATATTTGAAGATTTCCTACATACAAAATTCCACTAAGTGCACTAATTAGCGTGGGGAGCGGGGGGGTTTTCCAATTTGTTAATGGCACCTGACAAAAGATTTTCTGCTCAGTGAAGGTAGCATGCTTCTACCACACTAGCAGCAGTGGAATGAAATTTACAAGGAAATAGTCAATTTCACTGATACTACTGCCCAAATATGTACTATATAAGAGTGAAAATAACCAGATTCTTGTGAGTTTAACTGTAACATTTTTGGAAACTGTCAACAGAACAGAGACAACTTCCTTGCTGTTGTGGGCACACTGCAGGGGAAGAGAAAAGATCTCATCCAGCTTTATGGGAAATGCGGATGGATGCAATGACCACTAGGCTTCTCAGGAGGAGGAAGCCTCTCAATTCCACTGAAGCATCTCCATCTTTTATATTTATTTTTGGATAGTACGCAATTGTCAGCTTATCAAGTCCCAGTAACATTCTGAGACTACGAAACTAACTCATCATGAAGCTTATAGAAGACTGGCAGGACTTCAGCTAGTGCAGCTACCCCACTGACAAGAAGCACTGCAGTAGTCCTAAGAATCACAATGTTTGTGTATCACATATGCAATTTTATCATTCAAAACTTCAGCAATTTGTTCTCCTGGTATAATAGCATTCAGCATGCATACCCTTATAACAATGAGGACAAAGCCATATGTATTTTTTAAATGTAATATTAGATTATGAAAAACTATTGGAATTGCTTAGAGGGTAAAAACATCCTGCTCTCTTGCCCAATTTCTGATGAAGTGAGCTGTAGCTCACAAAAGGTTGTGCTCAAATAAATCTGTTAGTCTCAAAGGTGCCACAAGTACTCCTTTTCTTTTTGAAAGGATCAAAGGTTTCTTCCATAATGAAATGTCATTTGTTCAAAAGTGGTAACTAGTAAAACCCTAGTCAAAAGTTGTTTTTCTTTCTGACCAACTGTCTTGATGCAAATGAGAAAAGAGAGCGAAGTAAGCCATGAATTTATATGACATGCCAGTAAAGATATTCTGGAATGGCCTGGGTACAAATTACTTGAAATTAGGTCACTCTGCTACCCAAGGAGACTCCAGATAATCTGCTTCAGGTGGGAGAAAGGCACACACAAATTTGAGGCCTTAGGCAATTCCATCCAAATGTTCCATCTTCTTATAAAAGGTCACAGATGACGTATCTCACATCCCATTTTCCCTCTGGTCACTGTATTATATGTTTCTTAAATGCAAATGAAGGGAGAATACAGAAGTCTCATCAACGACTTTTCCCCCCCAGCAGACGACAACATCCTCATACCGCGGATAGCCAACGATGATCACAAAGATCTGCAGGAGCTAGCACAGCCATATTGCTTGGAAGTTATATAGTAAGAGAGATGATTCACAAGTCTTTCAATCACACACATAGCTATGTTGCCACAGATCTAAAAGGAAAATCTCTAAATAAATTTAGATTTTAGCATTAAAGAAATCTCCCAAAACTTTAACACTGCTACTGAATCTCTGTTTTTATGCTGTGAACTATGGAAATAAAAATGTACTTTAGTACATTTCAAATGGGTCTGCCCTTGTACTTGGTCAAAGCTTTCTAACATTACCTATACTGAGCATGCTCAACCAAAACTCAGTTTTTACTGTCAGATACATATATTCATTGTCATGTACTGGCACTTGTGATGGGGTGTACCAACCTCGCACTGGAGGGAAAGGGTTAAAGAGCTGATCTAGGCCTAAGACGCTACACCCCCTTCCCTCTGTTGGGCATGATCCCAGTGGAGGGAGCATTTAAAAGGGAGCAACTCAGCTCAGTCTGGGCTGACTAAGGAGGAGAGCAGTGAGGTGCAGCAGCCTCCTGCTGGAAAGCCACCGAGGCTCTACACCACCAGGACAGAGTCTCATCACCAAGCCGCTGGAAGCTAGCTGACCGCAGGAGCCGAGGGTGGCGACTCATTAGGGCCAACAGAAGAGACTCTGGAGACAGATCAGAGAACACAGGAGCGACCTCATGTCCAACCTGTGATGTCGTCGGTGGAACTGAAACAAGTGAAGGAAGTGATCCAGAGAGTGCACTTGGAGATCTCAGGCCCTGAGCCCTGTGTAAGGACCACTGTTTCAAAGGTCAGATTCCAGAGGAGTAGGATGGGCCCAGTTTCCCTACCCACTCATCAGTGGGTAACACTACCCTGAACAATAGCCAATAGGCCAGCGATTCTCAAACTATTTACCATTGTGGACCGCATATGCAGCTCTCTATCTGTTAAGTGGGCCACATCCACACAATATATATATCACCCTGTCAGCTGTGGCTGGCCAGTCAGGCACATGTCTCTCGATGCCTGCTCCCAGACTGTCAAGGGCAGGGCTGATCCCACCCACCAAGCCATGGGGGACCCTGGCTGGGAAGCTACCCATGGGACACATTTCCACCCTGCACCAGCTCTCCCCCCGAGATGGGACTTACAGGGCAGCCTCCTGCTCTGACTGTGAGCTCCATGTCAGGACATGACCAGCAGGGGACCGGCAGGCGGGCACTATCTGGTACAGGCAGGTCAGGGTGCAGCCTGGAGCATGCTCCCCCCCCTCCCCAAAGGTGACACACAGCTATGGCTAATGAGGGGACGTGTTCCCCCACTCCCGTTCCGATTTCTCCAGACACCTCTGGCATGCACGCCCAGAAGCGAGGAGGCAGTTCTCACCCCAGCAATGGCCCTCTCAGTCATTCCCTTCTCTTCTCCCTCTCCCATCCCTCTCTTCCCCCTCCCTTTTCCTCTCCCCACCACATCCTCTTTCCTCTTCACACTGTCCCCTGCCCCGCTCCATCCTGCACTATTCCCCTATCCCCTTCTCTTCGCCCTATCCCAGCCCTCTTCCTTCCCCACTACCTCATCCTGCCCCCACATGGGCACTAACCATTATACAGAAACAAGACCCAGAACACATAGAAGAGGATGACAACAGGCACTAGGAACCAGGAGGTAGTGTCTCGGAGTTGCCAGCTCAGCCAGGGAGAGGTGCTGAGCGAGTTGGCGCAGCATGGGAAGGACAGAACCTTCCCCCCCCACCCACCCTACACAGGCTGAGCAGAGCAAGCCCTGCTCGGCGCTTGCAGAAATCGGGGTGGGAGGAGAGGGAGCAATGCCCCTCCAAACTACACCTGGGTGGTGAGAGTTGACGACCCAGGGCCTCCCCCTACCCTGGCAACCCTACAGTGTGTCCCTACAGCATGGGAGCTCCTCCCCTACCACAGAGGGCTGCTTTGTCTTCCCTGCTGGCAGGGAGCACTACAGCAGGGCTCCATGGCACCATCTCCTCCTCAGCCAGCCCCGCCCTTGCCAGGACCGGGGAGCAGCAAACTTTGAATTTTTTTTAGCACACAGCTGGGTCATAGGTATGCGCTAACTGGGCCACAAGCTGCCTGCGAGCCGCAGGTTGAGAATCACTGCATTAGGCAAAGCAGCCTTTGAACTCTCGTCAGTGGGCGACACTGCCTGAAACTGTAACTGCCAGGGAAATTGACCCTTGGAATTTTGCTGCTAGATGCTATGCTCCGGAATAACACCATTAGGTGATGCTACCGAACCAGAATACACAGCCAACCCTTGACAGCACTGGAGAAGACAAAAAAATCCTAGTATTGTAATAGCAGTGCTGTTATACTACTATCTATATAACAGTGCAAGACAGACACTAAATTTTTTTTAATTCTCTTTTTAAAGTTTGAGGAAAAAACATCAAGAAAAGGTGACACACAGGCATGGACCCTTAGCAGAAATTGTAACTGAGATAATGACAACTGTGCCACAAAAGCAAAATTCCTTGAAACTGTCTGAACTTAGCAACTTTAAAAATGAAGTGGTTTTAAGAATATAGCATAATGTAATTGGGACTATCTTTTCATCACCTTGTATAAAAATACTTCCTAAAGGAACTGATGATCTCACAAGAACAGAGCTTAAAACTCAGCCAAACATTTTGCAATTATGTGTAGAAAATTGGTTTTATGGAATCAGTAACCTTACTGACACACTTGTATTATCACACAGTTAGAAGGAAATAATTAAAAAAAAACCAAATACTCATACCTGATCGAAAACACTCAATAATTTGTTGAATACCAGATTTTGACATCTGCAGAGGTTGCTGTAACAAAGGAGGATCACCAGGTTCTAACAAATACACTGCAAGACATCAAGGATGACAGTTAGAGAGGACACACAGACACGTATATATATGTAGATATATTTTAATATTTGAGGCTGGTTGAAAAACAGGACAAAGTCATCAGGAAAAATTTTGTTCCCTTTTTCATTGAAGTTGAGAGCTAATAAAGGTGACTAGCCCTATTCCTTGTAATAATAAAAAGGGCTTAGGGATGGCATTTGGAATTTTGCACTCTCACCTCCTTGCTGTTGAAATTAATTTGAAGAGTGACAGATTTTCTATCAAAGCTATTTATTTCAGGCAATATGTTGTGATTGATTAGTTTTTTTAAATGTATATTCATATAGTCCTGTGTATGATGTTTCATAAACATGGATATGAGGATGTACGTACACAAAAAAAAAGAACTGTAGATAACTCAGTGGTCTCTGCCAGCTTAGACTATTCAGTTCATAGAATTGCCTGTTAGATTGGCATTACTCAAGACACCTTGTGCCATCTCAAAATCCTAGTCTCATTTTTTGGTGCAAGCAAAAACAAAATAAGTTTGTGAGGAAAAAAATGAAAATGCCAAATTCAACATCTGCATGCATATGGGCAGATCCCAGTGACTTTAATCGAAGGTACAGATTTATATTCAAGGGTTGACTGTGCCCTCAAAAGAACTATTATTTAGAACAAATGTACTAAATAAGTATGAACATATCTAGTTAATGTTTACTGCAAATTATATATTTCAATTCTTATTCATTTTATATTCAAGCATTTTTTAATCAAGCAAACTTCAGAAATGATCTCACCTAAAATGACACTTTTTCTAAATCTGATTTAGATTCACCTCCCATTCTTTGTAAACAATATTAAAATATATTTATAAACTCTAGTGACATGTAACTAAAAAGCTAAGACATCCCCAGTGGTCAAGAGAGTCCTATTTTAAGTGGGATATACTGGTGTATAGAAAATATCCATATTGATACGGACACCATAACCCTTACCCTGCAAACACTTACACAGATGAATCATTTTACACACAGGAATAGCCCCATTTAACTCAATGAGGCTACTCAAATGCAAAGTTACTTCTGTAAGTGTCTGCAAAGTCAGGGCTCAGATCTCCTTAGGTATTTCTACACTGCAATTAGACACCTGCAGCTGGACCTATGCCAGCTGACTTGGGCTTGCATGGCTCAGGCTGCTTAACTGAAATGTAGATGTCTGGGCTTAGACTGGCACCTGGGCTCTAGGATCTGCGAGATAGGAGGCTCCCAAGATGTCTACATCGCAATTAAACCACATATATTTGTATTAAAGGGGTCAATGCATAAGATAAAACCATTTTTGAACATTAACAAAAATAATTTAGACAAGTTTCAAAGACAAAGGGCAATACTGCCCTAGAATATGAGCAAATATAAACAAATTCAAAATGCAATGATTACTTTAGGAAAAAACAGCCTATAGAATGGTGTACTTTTTATTCTATCCAACTATGCCCATACCATAAACACTGTTAAAACACAAACATATGTAACAACCATTATAAATCATCTAATTGCTTGGTGATATCTAGCACAATGACATATTGTATCCTACTAACCTACTTGCCATTCTTCGAAAAATAAAAACAAAAAAAAGTACACTTTGGACTAAATACTGCCTC